TAAATTTTACAAAATCTTCTCAAATGTTATATATCTTATGTTACACTTCATGTTAGCTTGAAATCGAACTAATCAATCATTAGTATTCTTTATATTCTCTCTTTTAATTTACTAATATTCAGTAGTTCATAATCATCTAAATTATGATGAATATTACAACCAAGTTTGAGACACTTCTCCTCATATGAAAAACAAACAAACTTTAGACAAAAGCAAATAAAGAAGTCTAATTTTCTAAATGGTATTAGATCAGAATGGAAACAATTTCAAAAATAAATAAATAAATTTTACGTTCATCTCTTCAACTAAATTATGTTAATATCAGATGAGTTTTTGTGGAGATTGGTGAGGAGTTCCACAATAGGATGAAACGGCCGTCCAGTGCTTCCAGGTTTTCCGCGGTGGTCTAGCTTCAACTAACTCATGATCTTAACTATTTAAATTATTTTAATCAATCAAATTAAATTACGTTAAATTTTAAATGTTAATTAATTTATTGACTAATTAGATCAACATTATTATAAATGAATCGATTTTAAATGTATATTTATACTTTTTTTTAATGATTTAATCTATCTAAACTTTATTTTACAAATTGTTACAATTTTTTTCAAATTGAATACATTTTTTTAAAAAAAAATGCTAAAATCTAATTTAAAATTAACTCAGATTCCATAGCCTTTGTGAATTGATTAGATAATAATCAGCAGTATATATATATATCCTATTCATTAATCAATGAAATATAGATTTTAAATGATAATCGATACACTACTAACATTGATCGACCGTTTATGAATAACCATTCATCAGATAGACATGAATTTCAGTTTAACGATTATATATATATATCAGAAGGGGTTTTGTGGAGATTTTAGAAATTTCACTGATTGAAATCGTGGATTGGTTGAAGTTAGACATTAGCACTGTTGGATGCCAGCCGTCTCAGTGGTCTAGTGGTTAAGCACCTGGTGCGAGACTGTTAGGTCCTGGGTTCGAATCTCGCGGGGTGCGGAATCGTCGATGCGCACTACTGATGAGTCTCATACTAGGACGAAACGGCCGTCCAGTGCTTCTAGGTTTTCCATGGTGGTCTAGCTTCAATCGATTCATGATTTCAATCAGTGAAATATATATATATGAACATCCGGTTAGTTACGTTTGAAAATACACCATTTATTCAATGAACGATACAAATTTAATTTTGGTGATCAGTGAAAGAAAACAGACATTTTCATTGGTAATCGTTCTTTTTGATTGCTTTCATAATGTACATCAATTCTTGAAAATAAAAAGACTCATCACATATTGTTTGCTTTATTTCAATTAAACTGAAGGTAATTTTTGTCATTCTAAACAATTCCCAGCTTTAATTCTATCTTGACAATAGTTTATTATTGACTTATGATCCACTTATGATGAACACTACTTAAGGTTTTGAAAAAAATAGACTGGTCAGTCTATTTAAAAGCATATGGTTAGGATGAAATTTAATATACTACTGTTAGGAGACCTATGGGCAACACTTGAATTTCGCTTAACTACTTTTTGCGAAATAAATATTGTAAGGATGAAAAAAATGGTTTGACAAATTGTCGGAGTGATTGAATTGTCATAAATATTGTAGTATCTAGAAAACCGATCCTCCAGATCTCAAACTGCCTAAATATGTAAATAAATCCTCCAAATTCTAGTCTTCTGAATTCTTCATGTCCTTTTTTCTCTTTCCAAATTTATTTCACTGTATTATACTCTTTAATTAACATCTCCAAACACTAATCTTCCCGATCACTGCTTATACTCTTATTACCTCTACCACTACGGGATTTGTATCGACCACTGCATCTCTATGCTAATGTGGTGTGGCAACTCGAACTGATGTACGTACGTACGTACAAAGTTCTACGTTGTTACTGACTGACTCATGGCTATTACAGAAACTATACATTCAGTTATACGAGAAATTTTACGATCACAATTAGTTTACCAAAGTTGAAAAATGAAGGTCACAAAGTAGCCAATAATGTTTCACTTCTGCTCATCATAAAATATATAAATTCCATGTTGAAAAACACAAGATCGTCCACACTTCGAAAGTTTAAGATCAATAGTATTAAATTATTATGCTCTCTTACTAATCACTTTGCTATAATCAGCGTCGTCACTGATTATATTATCAATCAGTTGATAGATCTCAAGTTGAATATATTATCTTTATAGAGAAAAAATATGTCTTCTGTTAGCTTTGTTAATTTTTCTAGCAACAAACCTTTCAAATGTGGTCAACAATATATCAAAATTTATTCAGAAATAAACAATAAACTATTCTAATTCGTAATAGTTTTGAGAAGTGTTTACAATTATTTAGATTACTTCCGAGTTATTCAGAGTACATGAGAAGTTCTTTTAGAATTTAAACAGTGAAAGTTTTACTTAGGAGGTGATATACATGTATAGATCTCTATTTAGCGGGTATTATTGTAAATCAGTATAATAGATATGACTTAATGCAGTATCTTGCACGAAGCATTTTGCAATACTCTGGAAATTTGTTATAGATTGTTGGAGTAATTACATATGTAACATAATTAGGGTGAATTGTAGAATATCCAGTGATTAACAAAGGAATTTTATCCAATAATGACAATAGGACTTTTCATCCTTAGTGAGTACCGGTTATTGGTATTCCGTCAATGGAGTCTATCATCTGAAGCATGTGTCTGCTCATTTACAACCTCTTCAAAAAGTATTCCATTCATCGAACACAAATTTATTCACTAAGTCTTCAAACAATACTTTAGGTGAGAGAACTAGTGATACTACCCAGCTATCTGATTCAAAGCAGGAGTAGAGGGGCTTGAACCTGTAACCTCTCACATCCAAGCCGAGAACTAAACAACTAAGTTACTAACTCACATAAGTTCAGTTGATTCAGTTACAAGTCACCTATTGTCATGAAACTATTCATCTTATCAAGTGCTTTATTATGTACTTATAGCCGCTAACCAAGCACTCGCACTCAGCGTTTATTGTTTGACTGCTCAGATAAATGAAATAACATGGTTAGGTTTTTTGATGTTTATTATCAATTATCACCAACAATTTTCGTGGTCCAATAAGGTTTTTTCCACTTACTTGAAAATGAATATTCTATTTAGTGCAAGCAATTTCGCATCCTCCAAAAATCTAGTTCATAGTGTGTAACAGAGTAACTGACAGGCAGTTTTATACAAAGTTGCGTACAAGTTGAGGCTGTCAATTCATTCAGATTCAGGATCACATTGCAGTGTAATGGGAAAAATTCGATCAATTTCCTTTCATAAGAAAATCGATTACCTTACTAATGGAATAGTTAATAAAAGCCTTAATCAGTTATTCTTACACAAAATTAAGCAGATGATTTTAAATATGAAATATGGTAATCGAGAAACTAGTGTTTATACCAGCGAAAATTAGTGATTGCTTACACCAAATTCGTGGAACTCAACTTATGCAGTTAAATATATTTAGAAATTTGGTACACATAAACATATACATAATGGTTAACCGTAACAAATATATAATGCTTTTTAGTGGAAATACTAGTACTTGGTTTAGTGAATTTGATCCTAAAACCGAAATAAACATAATTTTTTTAGGGATGCTATTACATAACTGGAAATTTTCACATTGAAAAAGAAACTTTCATCACAAGCTAATGAATAGAATTCACTGTTGCCGTTGTTTTTGTTCTCTTAATCGACAAGTATCTACTTTAAGTTTAAGAGATATTTTAACGATTAAATGTGGTTAAAATACAACATAAATTACATTAGATTGTCAAATATAAGCTACACTATTCAAAAAGAACATATCAACATAGTGAAATAACAATATAAATATAATAGGAAATTTGAAAAGAAAAAAACAGATTATTGCAAAAGGATTTATTATAAATGATCAAAATGATTATCTATGTCACTTAATCATTTAAAATGTTTTATTGACAAATAATTTGAATAGAGTACAAAACTATAAAACTGAGGGTCTATTCGGTAGAACTATACTATTTGACAAATCGACTTATATTGTTTAATTATACTGTTCAAGTGAAATTTGTGTAATTGAGGACTACATAATCTAGGCATTAAATCTATGGATTTTTTTCCCGTATTTCTAGTAGATTCACTTTTCATTTCTTTAAATATTAACAACAGATTATAGAAAGAACTATTTCATAGCTCATATATTTGATAGTTTATATCAAAATGTATATAAACTTTAAAGAAGAATGTATTTGTAAAGTCTCAGCAAAAGAATTTGAAATAAATCCAACGTTTCGTCTGGTAATTTGGTTCAAGTTTTTTCAAACTTTGTTAAGAAATTTTAAAATAAAGATCTTGATGTACTGAAAGTATTACACAAGTTGTTGAGGTTTAATACTGAACTTATTATAGTACAAATTTTCATAGAATTTTTCTCAGTTTATACAAAGCAAATAATCACTTGGTATTGTTTGGCTTGTATCTTCCCATTGAGGTTTAAGACTGCAATTGATCAGTCTCTTATTGGCATATGTGCATACTGTGCGTATGCCTCGATATTACCTTAATTCACAAGCCATTTGTAAGCAATGATGGATAGTGGCTAGCAGTGGAATCCAAGACGCGCGTTTCGTCCTATTTGGCACTCGTCAGCTGGATGTACCTGCATCTCAGAGTTGATGTTCACACAAATATTCATTTTTATATCGAAACTTTAGTATTCCTAGATAAAAAAATTTATCTGATCTATCTGATAAGATGAGGATGTATCTTTACGACATAAGTGATCCTTATTGATTTTTTAAAAATTCTAGTCTAAATAATGAATGAGATGAAGATATCTGTCAAACATAGGTGAATAAATTGCTTTTAAACATTAATATAAAACTTTTTGCATATTAGTATATATATATATATATATATATATATATCATTAAGTAAACAGAATCAATAAAAATCGATCAATATATAACTTACCTAGTGTAACGTGTAAGGGATAATTTTAATGTTTGGATTAATAAACATTTAAAGCCCAAGATCATCATTACCAATTGCAGCCATCAAAAAGTAGTGTATTATAATGAAGTGTATTATTATTATTAACTAGTATGGAGTTCAGCAACTATAGTCCACTATATACTTTGTTTAATCATGGTAATATAAACAGTACATGTAATAATATTGTAAAACTAGGTATCACAGAATTCAGAAGTTAAAATCACTCTCGCCAAAAACAATCAACGTTAACACGGGAATGAAATATAAAAATTAACCGTTAAATGAAGTGAAAAAATAAGTTTGTTTTAAATTTAACGAAAATTTCAAACCTATGAAATTCTTCATTTACAATTATCCTCCCTGTCTCATATTCTCTCACATGCATTTGTGTATATGACTGTTCATTCTATACTTCACACTGTTTTTGTTCCTCAATCAATATACATATATGAACATACAGACAAAAATAGTTGAACACACAAAAATATTTTCGTTTTAATTTTGAAAATTGAAGGAAAGACATAAAATTGTAGAAGTTTTTGAGAATTGTTGAATAAACTTTTGTATGTATGTATCGATACAAATAATGTGGATAGGACAATGTTTCACTGTAAATGTGTATCTAACTAACCAACCAACTAACAAATATTTCATCTCAGTAAAATATTACAACACAGATTCGAGTCCACCACCCTAAAAAAAATCTTAAATTCATATTTTAACTAGTTACAAACGTACACAGACATATACACACAAATTGAAATATGTAAATATCTGTAAAAAGAAAGACAATCTAACAGCTTACATGCATATCACACACCTACATTGTCATTGTAATGTAGCCACGAGAACCATAGTTCATTCTCTTACCCTCTTTTAAAGATCTTTAACTAAAATACGAACTTGAATGTATATATATTTGCGTTAAAAAAACAAACAGAAAAGGCAAAAAGTTGTAACTTTAGTGATAGTTACAACTATTTAGATAAACTTCTCCCACCCTTTGCATACAAATTTCTCAACCTGTTTTGGAAAGAGTTTATGATGATGACTGACCTTTTATTCACTCATTCATATTCATTCATTCAATTTAAATCTCTCTTTCTCTGTTACCCTATAAAATATGCATCACTTAGATTGGCTATGAAAAACAACATGTGACCGCAAGTTTTGACTAATGTTTGATTGGTTTATTTAAATAAGTTAGTGAATTAATGAACAAAAATCAACTCATGAAAAATAATCTTTAAATTTTCTCAGTGTACACATTATGCTTTAAAACTGATTCCTATCACGAAGGGGTTCATCGTATAATTCAACTTCTATAGTAAGAAATGACTACTGTTATGCATGAAAATTAGATTCAATTTATTCAGCTACAGACTGTATTAATTATATTATTAGTAATAATAATGATTATTATGAGTTGTCATTCGATTTTTTGTTCACCTGTTGATACGCATATAAATATACATTATATATGAATAGATTTATGCACAATACTTTGTATAGGGTTGTATAAATATGTATATCCTTCATTGTTGGGAATATACTTATATGACAGGTTAACTGAAAAATCTCCCCCCAGAAAAAAAACGAGAAGTCAATAACCAAATGAATTTATTTCATTAAAAATTTTTTTTTTAAACATTCTATTCCATTAACAGAGATTTGCTTTCTTTTCTATATAAATGATTATAGATTTAGTTAAATAAAAAAAAACTCATATTTTATTCGAATTGACATATTTCAGTTTATTTATGAGCAAAATTTATATGATACTAGAGGTTAATTTCATTATCGGTTATTATTTTCCTTTCAAAAATTACTATTATTATTTACAAATTACTCATTTATTTTATTTAAGTAATTAATGTGAGTCAGGGGTCGTCCATCATTGATAATCAATATCATAACAAGAAAAGTGATGTTATGAAGTAGTTTGAGATTTCTTCTATGTTTTCTTTTATTGTGGATATGTAGAATTGGAGAAAATGTTTATTGATTGAAAGTAGTGAATAAGAAATTTTAAACTTGGATTTTTGTTAATTGATGTTAATTAACAAGAATTATTGACAATATTGATGGAGCTGTTGCTCCATGTGGAATTTCGAAACTGTATTAATCTATATGACAAAGGCTTCACCGCATGGCTATAATTCCTATGGCTGACCTACATGATTTAGAATTCACCTATAAGGAATTCATAATTACCATACTAGTTATTAGTCAATGGTAAACCAGTGTTGTTAACTATCTAGTTTAATATATTATTATTGACAATGGATAAGTTTACTCAAATATAATTAGAATATTGAATGTTCTATCTCCGGTTATACAGTCTGTTATGTAGTCACTTATCTTAGGGATCATGTACTTCATCATATCAGCAAATTAACTGGAAGAACTGGTTCTGGGTTTTGTAAATGTTGACTCTTATGAACTAGTTATGTTTGGTGTTCCAGAAATTAACATTTAATTTGAGTCATCGACTCTGCTAGTCAATATTACCACTTAAATTTTATAGCCAGTTTTTAAATTCACACAAAACTGACTAATATGTAGCTTTTATCGATTTGAAAATCTCATCTAGTATTCGCCCATGATTCCACGTAAAATCGAACCTAGAACACGTTGGTCTTTCAGAGAACCCTATAACTTTGGACTACATTGTTTGAAATTTAATAGTTATCTAACATAAATTTAGCCTATTTCATATATGTAAACATATACATAGGAAATTATGAAGTACTATAGAAAATGGAAAATATATGTGGTAGAGAGATTCAAGAAATCCATTTCAAAGTTAAGTAACAGGACCCATAGGATTGTTATTTATTAATGTAGGTAATATGGAGATTTTCTGTCACTAACTATCGACCAAATAATAACGGTTGTGAAATCATACATGTTAATAGTTTCAAACCAAACCAGTTTTTATAATTATAAGTCAAAAATAGTAAATAGTTAATGTATTTTAAAAATTATTACCAACCTGAATGAATATTTATCATATAATCACGGAAAACCAGTAAACTATAGATATCTGCAACATTTAATTCGTAACAGGATGTAAGCATAGTGAACTCTATGTTCTACTAGTAACATTGTTCTAACAAAATGTAACGACGAATATTTATCAATAATATATGTATTGAATAAAGTTGTAATTTCGAGTTCTAATAATGCTTCAACGATTTGGATATGGGGAGAAACTTAAGCATTTAAACAACAAATTTGAAGAGAGTCTTTCTATATAAATTTGTACATAGTTACTAAACTACACATTTATAGTTTAATCAAATATTCTTTATGACAATTTGTTACATAGAAGATAAAAGACTAACAGAACAATATCAAAGAAATTTGTATTCTTCACTGTAAACAAATTTGAGCAAATAATAAACTTTTCTCTATTCATGTTTCTTTTCATCATTTCATCAGTCTATATAGTATGATTAGATACTAATATTATTTTCATCATCGATAATATATCTTAGAAAATATCACTGATAATGAGGGAACATTGAATATATATACCTTATATCCTAGTTTAAAATAAATTAACAAATTAACCAGAACCATCTCCTTTCAAAACTCACAGTCGTTATTAAATTAAAATCTTTAACTCAAATAACATCAAAGGTATCCATGTAAGCTACAAATCTTCTTTATCATTTGATAAACAGTATGTTTCATTATTATCCTTAAAACTGATACATATCAACATGGATATATGAATATTTATCATTATTCCATTTAGAATAGATTAGATAATGTTGATTTAATTCATAGGAATTCTCTGAATCATTCTATCATTTCATTTGAACAAATAAATTATGTCATTGTTTGAAATAAATTCTATTCAATCAATCAATAAAATAATTCGTCAATCAATTCTGATTGAATATAATTTTAATTAAAATAAAAATCAATATTTAACTTGATTAATTTTAATAGTTTGTTTTTAATATTAATTAACGTTGTTTTTTTTCAAAAAAAAATCCGTTTTTTAAAACTAGACAAATTCCACAACGGTTAAAAAAAAATCCATAAAACTATGATTGTCATGATATTTTTATAAATTTTTTTTTGTTGTAAAAATAAAATTCCATATCAAGTTCTAAATTGTTTTCTATCATTAAGAACTTCATATTTACATTGATATTCACATGGATTTGATTTATGTGCTCAATTTTAAATTTAATTATCTTGTCAACAAGTTTTAATTCCAAAAGTTAACAAAAAACAAACATGTTTAAACGTGCCTTATCTTAGTACACTTTTCATATGTATATTCAATACATTCATATTCATATACATATATGCATATGAGAAGAGATAAACAGAGATGAAAACACCATATTTTGAGTTTTGATATGATACATTTGTAGTAGTTATTGATATTGGTGCAATGGTTATAAACTTTAGATAAGAATTTTAACAACAGTAACAAAACAAAAATGTAATAAGGGTGGATGAATGTATGATTTTTTTTGTATTGATGGAGTTCATTTATTGATTAATAATTCATTAAATAAATAGGATAAATAGAAATAATGTGAAACAAACAAAAAAACGGAAAAAAAATTAAAATAAAATTTCATAAAACAAAAACACACACTTGAAACTACTACTACTATTACTACTAACCGACTTTGAGTCTTAAGATTCTTTATCTGTAATTCTTTTTTCTTAATAAATAAATGGTTTTCATATATCATGTGTAAACAGTAAAAAATACCAATAAACTTTATTGTATATTCATTTTTATATGTTGTATGTTGTGCATAATTTAATTGTGTTTGATGTATGTTGTGATAGTTGGATTTAAGTGAGATGACAAAGATGAATAAAAAATGCGGTAAATGTACGCTTTCTCTCTCTCGCGCGCGAAAACTACCATATATATATATATGCTAGAAGTTGTTTTCCTCAGACAATTGTGTACAATAATATTCATAAATAATATTATGTTCAATTATATGAGATGTTAATTTGAACGAAAAGCAAACAGAAAGGCTTTTTATAGTTTACATAACGATCTGATTTTACTCAAACAGCCTTTAAAAAATAAGGAAGACTGGACATAAACAGTGCGACCTACGATCCCGGCAAGTATTAAATCCAAGATTCTCATGTGTCGTGGTGCATACTTGGCCATTAGAACCACATTAGGATAAAACAGCTACTCAGTGTTCTTTCATTTTCAAATCAGACCTATCTTCGAAAAAAAACCTACAAACTAAACTAGTCACTACAATATTTCTTCGCTTAACTTCATATTATGTAACAAAGATATGATCTGAATAGTTTTCGGATGGGATGAAAAAGTATTTGAAGACTTCCCTATAAACTGTCTTCTATTTTATTGGTCCATTATGACAGTAAAACC